ACCACACCTGGCTAATTTTGTATTTTTAGTAGAGACAGGGTTTCACCATGTTGGCCAGGCTGGTCTTGAACTCCTGACCTCAGGTGATCCACCCTCCTCAGCCTCCCAAAGTGCTGGGATTACAGGTGTGAGCCACCGCGCCCAGCCTGCCTCTGTCTAGGTCTTATACTCACTCTTCAACCTCCCACTAGGATCCCCGATACTACCAGACACCCCCATCCTCACTCTCAGAAGCCCTCCTGGGGAACCAGCAGTCCCCTGTGGGCTCCTGCCTGCTCCCCAGCGGCCAGCCCCCACCAGCCCATCTTGTGGGCCTTGGAGGCAGCCCCTCCACCTCTGCCTGCCGTGACAACAGTTTCGCGTGGGTTTCCAGGCAACAAGGGGCATCCTGCCTCTTTTCTTACTCTCCTGCCACCCCCTGTCTAGCAGAGCCAGCCCAGTCTCAGTAACAGACTGGAAGGAAAGGGGCGTTCTCCCTAGTGGGGAGAGATGGTCCCGAAACTCAGTTATCAGGGTTTCCCACACCCCGCCAGAGAGGACAGGAAGATGTGCCCCCTACACCCAGCAAGCGTGATGGTGGAGGGGCCGCTGCTGGGCCTGAGTGCTGCAGGCTCGAAGGGGAGCCCTGTCCTCTGCACCCCTATCTGGAGGTGAGGCCTTCCTCCTCTGGAAACAGGGTCCGCACGACAGGTCCTCTATGGCAGGCAGCCCTCCATCTCCGCCTGCTCTGGGACCACATGTGCAGCCTGGAGCTCAGGGAGGAAGCCCACCCCCTGCCTACGGGCTGTGATGCCACATGCTGAGGACAAGAGTGTAGGGTCTGTGGCCCACCCTAGCCATCAGCCAGCTGAGAAGCACAGGCTGCGACATGGTGGCTTCACGCAACGCTGACTCTCCAGCACTGGAAGGACTGGCAGTTTCACAGCAGACCCTGGCCCTGGAGAACGGGTGTCTGCTTGGTGCCCTGGCAGCCTTAAGAACCACTTCTCCCAGATAAGGATAGGACTCTCCTGCTCTTGGCCATTTTAGTGGAAAGAGGGCCCAGTCAAAGTGAGGCTTGGAGTTAGGGCTAACTGATGGGGGGATGACGGAGGAGCCACAGAGAGGACCTGGCCAGGGAATCCGAGGGATGGAGAGTGGGGAGGGTGACAGTGCACAAAGAGACAGAGCAGAGAGGAGGAGGAGGAAACAGCAGCCTGCAAACTTCCCTGCCCAGCAGGGAAGACCAATCAGGACACTGGTTAGAGGGGAGAGTGGGGCGTGGTGGCCCTGGGCACCTGAGCACAGCCCACGGTTACCCAGGGGGGAAGAAGATTCCAAAAGCTGGCAGTCTAGATTTTTATGAGAAATCTCTAATTTAAAAAATGTTGGCAACAAATTAAACATGTTGAAAGCACCAGGAAAATAATGCTCTCAGGTGCTGGGAGGACCCCAGCGTAAGTGAGTCCTTAGGGACGTGCGGAGAGGGAACTTCGGGGAAGAAGCCAGGGAGGCAGGGGGCAGACAGGCTGGCAGGAACAGCGGCAGAGGTGAGGGTGAGTGACACAGAGGGACAAAGAAGAGAGGCACCGAGAGCGGGTGTCGAGCAGAGACAGAAATAGAGGCAGGTTTCACAGCAGATGGGGTGGGAGAGGGAAAGACTGAGGGATGAGGGAGTCCAGAGACTCCACGGTTGGGCCAGGCCCAGCAGGGGGCGAAGGGTCAGCCCCGTCGGGCTCCAGCAGCCACCCTTAATCCCACTCAGAGACAGGCCAGGGGGGCGAAAGGTCAGTCCCAGGAAAGATGACACAGGAGATGGAGGGGTGAGACAGCTTGACAGAGACAGGAGGTCCAGGTGATAGTCCATGACAGACAACCAGCCAGAGAGCACTGGATAGGGAGACAGGATGGAGCAGGTGTGAGATGCCCAGCAGGTGTCCTAGCAAATAAGACAGGTGATCAAGGGGGTGGGGACCCTGGCAAGAAGGCAGGGCCAGGGTTCCAGAAGGGACTGAGGATTCAGCGGCCACCCCGGGCCCCCAACCCACAGCACCTCCCCATGGGCCCCGACGGTGTGCGAGGGCGCCTATGTGCACAGGCTCTGCTTGTCAGAGAGATGTCAGCACCCTGTGATATCTGACGTCTTAATTCTGCTGACCTCTCAGACGGATGTTGAGGAGGTCCCTAAGGAGTCTGGTGGCATGGGAAGCACTCTCTGGGCTGTCTCTAAGTGGGATTAAGGGTGACTGCTGGAGCCCCACGGGGCTGGCCCTCCCTGCAGTGCACAGGCGCCCGCGTTTCCCAGGCTGACACTGGGACTGTCTTAGCGGCACCTGGAGAACGGTGTGTGCTCGGTGCCCTGGCAGCCTTCCCACACCTCCGTGCCTTTCGCTGTGTGTCTCTCTGCTCACGTGAGGCCACGAGGCTACAGGACCACAAGGCAAGGGCCTCCCGCCTTTGTCTCTCCCTCCAGGTCTCTGTGTACGAAGGTCTGTGCGTGACACACGACTACAGGTCTGGGGACTGCTCCCTGTTTCTCCTGGCCTCCTGCTGAGCGTGGGGGCTGCGTCTGCAGCTGGGCCAATGTGGTTGCACATGGGGTCTCTGGCTACCAGTGAATGACTGTGTGTGCGAGTGTGCGTGTGTACAAGCTAGGGCATCTCTGCCTCCATGTCCCCGTGTCTTCCTCGTACGCTCCCACTCTCTGTCGCTGACTTGGGGTCCCTCTGACAAGTCAGAAGTGGCCTCTAATCCCCCAGTGCTTTGGTGGCCAGTGTCCCCTGGCTCCCTGCTGGCCCCGGCAGGGGCCCTGTGGCTCCCTGCGTCTCTGCCTCGCCCGGCCCATGTGTCTGCTCTCTGGGTGGGAGTGGCGTGTGTCCCTGGCTCCCCGACTCTTTCTTTCTTTCTTTGGGAAATTGAGTAACTCCACTACTCTGGATGCTGATGTCCTAATTGTCTATGTGTCTGTTTCAGAGGCTGGGTGCCCTCTGTCGCTCTGGGCCTTCCTCCCTGGCTCCCACCCTTCCCTTCCTTGGGTCTCTGTCTCCTGCCTTTCCACTGCTTCACTCTCTGTCCCTCTTTTCTCTGTGTGCGTTTGGACCATTGGGTGGCCAGGAGGAGAGGAGCCCGAGGCCGGAGGGGAGGAGGGGGAGGAGGAAGAGGAGGAGGAGGAGGAGGAGGAGGAGGAAGGTGGGAAGGGGAAGTGGAGGCTGCAGAAAGGCAGGTTAGAAGGCAGAGGCTGCAGAAGATGCTACAGGAAGAGGGAGGGGCCGTCCTGGCCGCGGTCCGGGGCTGGGGGGCGGGAGTTTTTAGGCTGCTGGACCAGGAGAGAAGCCGGCTTCGGCTACTCCCAGCTGCCTAGAGCCCGAGTTCCTGTCTGGCGGCTGCGCGGCCGGGACTTGGGATGTGAGGCGCATAGCAATGGGGCGCTGCGGAGGCGCCACTGCAGCTCCCAGCTGGAAAGGGGGGCGGGGAGGGGGCCGAGGGGCAGCCCCGAGGCTCCCTTCCCCCTCCCCTTCCCAGCTGGGCTCTCCCCAGGGGAATTCCCCACCCCGAGAGAAAGTCGCCAGCGGCTGCAAGGAGGGGGCAGTGAGGAGGGGAGGGCGCCCAGGAGGAGAGCAGAGGTGAGGGGGTCTGGGGAAGAATATAGGGGTGCAGAGAGGAGGGGGCGGCGGGGGAGTGGGCAAGAGGCCATCCTGGGCTCTGGGGACTCGAGCCCTGGGGAGAGACGGGCTGGGCCCCTGGCCGGACGGTACCCCAGGGAGGCAGGGCATGGAGATGGGGGGAACCTTGAGAGCCCGGGCCCCGGGATTGATGGTGAGTCGGAAGGAGAGGTTCCCAAAAGCAGAGAGCTAGGATTGTGGGGGTCTGAGATTGGGGGTACTATGGGGTGAGGAGACAGGATGGGGGGGTCTCTGGGTGAAGAAAGGTCATAGGAGGAGGTTTCAGAGAGTGCAGGGCTGAGAAGGCTGCTGGGGTGCTGGGGAGAAAGCGAGAGGCTGGGGTGCAAGGCCGGAAGAGAAGCGGGGAGGGCGCGGGAGAGAGCGGGAGGAGAGGGCAGCTGAAGGGGGGGTCTCCTGGACAGAGGGTCTGGTGAGGGATATCTGGGGGAGGGTCCGGGATGGGGTGAGAGGATCCTGAGGGGCAGGTGTTGTGCCTTAGAAGATCCTAGAAGAGCAGGTGTGAGGGTCGGAAGCCTGGGGATGAGGCAGCAAATGGGGGGCGAGGGTCTGCAGGAGGGGAAGCTTCCAGGAGGGGAGGGCAGAGGGAGGTGGGAGAAGCAGTGGTCCTGGAGAGACACGTGTCCAAGGATACAAGGCCCCAGAGCTGAGTGGGGTCAAGGAACGGGGGTCTTGGGGAGGGGAAGGGGCAGGGGTCTGAGTCTCCCACCGGGAGAGGTGGAGTGACCCCAGAGACAGAAGGGCTGAAGACTGGGGAGGGGGTTGTCTCACTCCCCAATCACCCCCTCCGTCTTTCCCATTTTCACTTCCCAAACTCCCCGGTTCTCCCCGGTTGCCACGGCAACCGCTCTTGCCAGGCGCGGTCACCAAGGAAACCCCGTGCCCGCCTCTCCCCCCTCCCCATCACTGGCGTGCCCCCCCCACCCCAAGCAGCAGCGGTGTGGAGGGTGGGAGGGGCCATGGGGAGAGGAAGAACCTGGACTCCCGCCCCAGAAAGGGGGGCCCGGACCTACGCCCGGCGAGCCCCCACCCTAAGTCTACTTCCTCAACCCCACAGCTGGATACGCAGCGACCGCCGGACGCACCCCCACAACCTGTCCCCAGGCAGCAGCGACCCCCCCCAGCACAGAACTCGCCCGGCCCGGAGAACCCCCACCCAGCCGCCTCCCCCACCGGCTTCTGCCTCCGTCAGGCCCCGCCCCTTGTCCTCTGCCATCCCCCACCCCATCCCGGAGGAGGCCTAGGACCACCGTCCCCCAATTAGCCAATGCCCCCCACCTACCCCCCGCGGTTCCGCCGCCGGCCCCTGCCCCTGACCCGTGCCCCTCAGAGGCTACTCACAGCAAGGAGAGGGACTCCTTCCGGGGGGCAGCATGCCCGGCCCGTGGGGGGAGGACCCCCCCAATGAGGCTCAGGAATTTGGGGTGCAAGGCCCGCTGCGGGGAGGCGCGGGGGGCGGGGCTGCGGCCGGGCCGGGAGCCTCTCTCGCGCTCTCCCCCCTCCCCGACTCCTGGGTGGGGAGGGGGCTTCCGCGGCTGCGGCGGCGGCGGCGGCGGCGGGGCTGGGGGGGCCGCGCTGCCTCCTCGCCTCGCGCCCGCCCGCCGTCCGGCCCGGCGCCCTCGCCCGCCGCCCGCCTTCCTTCTTGCCTTCCTTTCTTTCCTTCCTTCTTTCCTGGCTTCCTTCCTTCCAGCCTTCCTTCCTTCCTTCCTCCCTCCTCGGGCCCGCCGGCGCCGCTCTCCCCCCACCCCACCCCCCCCCAGGCCCCGGCCCCGGCCCCGGCCCCCGCCTCGGACGGTGCGGCAGCGACCGAGAGCAGCCGAGAGCGGCGGAGACGGGAGCGGAATACTGATGATGGTGGGAGCGGGCGGGCGGAGGGAGGGAGCAGGAGGGAGGCCCGGGAGGAGCGGAGGGGGGAGAGAGGGAGGGAGGGAGGACCGCGAGGAGAGGGAGGAAGGAAAGAGGGGGGAAGAACCGGAGAGGATGGGAGAGGGAGGGAAGGGGAAGGGGAAGGGAAGAAGGAAGGAAGAGGGAAGAGGGTGGCGGAAAGAAGAGGGGGAGAAAAAGGGGAGGGAGCAGGGGAGAGAGGAGGGAAAGGGGAGAGGGTGTGGGAGGGGAGGGGTGGTGGGGAGACTCCTGCAATAAGGTCCTGGATGGAGGGGCGGGGAGGGCTGGGGGAGGGTGGGGGAGAGGGCAGAGGAAGAGGAAAGGAGGGAGAAATGGGTAGAGAAATGGGCAGGAGAGGCCCAGGGGCCAGGAAGTGAGGGGAAAGAGGAGGGAAGGCCCAGCTTTGAGGGCTGCAGGAAACAGAGGGCCCGGGAGGGCTGTGGGGAGAAGAATGGGGGGTGCGGTGGGTGTTGTCAGGAAAAGCAGGGGAAGCTGGTGGGACCTCGAAGAGGCAGGAGGAACTAAGTTGGACGGAGATGAGAGGATGGAAGATGGAGGGAAGGACCCGTGGTGCGGAACGGCGGGGGGGCGGGGGAGGGGCGGGGAGTGGAGATCTCTTGGGAGGGGAGGGAGGCTGGGGAGCTGGAGCTGTGAGGTCCCAAGACTGGGTGGCAAGAGGTCGGGGAGTAGATAGGGTGCGGGAGGGGCAGAGGACCCTTCTTGGACCCCCCTGTGTTCCCACTTCATCAGCCCCCCCACCTCATGAAGAGAAGGACCCTCAAACCCATTTTCCAGAAGAGACCACTGAGGCTCTCTGAGGAGCCAGGATGGGGTTTGAAGGCAGAGTCCTGGGCTGGTGGCACCCTCAGAGAGATGGAGATTAGCTTGGGTCCTAGCTTGCAGCACCTGGTCCAGACCTGGCAGGTGGAGGCACCTGGAAGGGACAGAGGGCACAGCCTGAAACTCCCTGCCCACTCTCCTCTCACTTCCCCCAGGTGCTGGCAGCAGGTGCTGGGGATGAATTTAGAGCTGTGAAGCCGAGCTGCATCTTGGGTGCAGGGAGGGGGAGGGCGGATGCAGAGGCCTCTGGGAGGTCACCATGTCCCTCCCTCCACTACCCCAAAACTTTGGGCCCTAAGAAAGTGAGACATTGGGAATTAGGGGCAGAGAACCCAGAAGGAGAGGCAGCAGCCCCTGTCCAGGGCACTAAAGAGCCTTCCAGATGTTAAAATTAGCGCAGAAGTTTCACCCCTTCCTTGTTATCCCGCAAAACACTGACTAATAACTGAGGACTCAGGAGAGATAAGAAAGATGAAGGTTCCTTCTTTCAGCCCCAGGGACTCCGGGACAGACTCTCCCTCTTCCCCCTTCTCCTTGGAGAGCCCCAGGGAGGAAACGTGGGGCCCTGTTCCTGCAGGCAGAGTATGGGGAGAGTCGGGGTTGGAAGCTGGAAGGAAAGTGGGCCAGACACATCTATAATGAGCCAGAAATCCAGAGAGAAGCAAGGGTTGGGAAGAGGCGGCTTTGGGTGGGCGCTGGTGGGCACCGAGCCCTGAGAGCTGCCAAGAGGGGAAACTGAGGAGAGGCCAGGCGTCGGCCACGAAGTGGCAATTGGTGTTGTGGCCCTTCGGGTTTGCGAGACTGGACCAGTGAACACGGGTGTGACACGTGTGTGCACCTGCGTTCAGCGCAGAGTAGGCCAGGACCAGTGGTGACCCCAGCAGAGTCACATGGTGGCAGCTGCGGTTCCTGCTGGTCTGCCACGGGCCAGATGCTGCATCCAGCAGCTGACAAGCATGGCATCATACCAGCTTCTAGGGATGGGGGCCCTGGTGGGCAAAGGTGAGAGCAGGCCCCTGCTGAGCCCTGAGTTAACCCTTTCTTACAAGAGGGTCTTGGCGGGGCAAGGTAGCTCATGCTTGTAATTCCCAGCACTTTGGGAGGCTGAGGCAGGCGGATCACTTGACTTTGGGAGTTTGAGACCAGCGGCGCCAACATGGTGAAACCCTGTCTCTACTGAAAATACAAAAATTAGGCCAGGCGCAGTGGCTCACACCTGTAATCCCAGCACTTTGAGAGGCTGAGGCAGGCGGATCACGAAGTTAAGAGATTGAGACCATCCTGGCCAACATGGTGAAACCCCGTCTCTACTAAAAATACAAAAATTAGCCGGGCGTGGTGGCTTGCACCTGTAGTCCCAACTACTTGGGAGGCTGAGGCAGGAGAGTTGCTTGAACCTGGGAGGCCGAGGTTGCAGTGAGCCAAGATCACCCATTGCACTCCAACCTGGCGGCAGAGTGAGACTTCGTCCCCCGCCCCCCCAAAAAAAGAAAAGAAAAGAAAAAAAATTGGCAGGGCATGGCAGTGTGCGCCTGTAATTACAGCTACTTGGGAGGCTGAGGCACGAGAATCGCTTGAACCTGGGAGGTGGAGGTTGTAATGAGCCAAGTTCACAGCATTGCGCTCCAGCCTGGGTGACAGAGTGAAACTCAGTCTCAAAAACAACACACACACACACACACACAACAAGAGGGTCACAGGTGCGAGGCCAAGGTGTGTCAGGTGTGGCCCTTAGAGAAGCAGGGTAGTAATCCAATATTTTAACAACCAGCGAACCCTCTAGGTCCATGCAGCCTGGATCTTGGCCCCGCCGAGAGGGTGCGACTGCCTCTGTTTTACTGAAGAAGAAATGATTTGCCAGAAGCACCCAGAGCTCATCAAGGGCCTGTTCAGCACCGGGCACTGTTGATGGCCCAGAGAGCTGGCCAGAGAACAGAAGGAGACAGCGCCTGTCCCTGCAGATCTGACCCTCCAGCAGAGAGGGTAACTCAGGGTCTTATTTCCAAGAGCAGTGTGAGCAATGAAGAAAATAAGAGAACAATTAGGGAGGAAAGAAGTTGGTGGGAGGCCAGGAGGGCAGACTTGAGGTGATCAGGGGAGGCCTCCTGGAGGAGGTGTCTTGGGCAGAGGCCAAAAGGAGACAGCTGATTGTGTGCGCAGGGGCAAGCACCTGGGGCAGAGGTCCCCAATGGCAGCAAACCAGGCCCATGTGAGGGATGGGAGCGAGACAGGTGTGGCATGGAGGAAGAAGAGAAGCAGAGTGGAAAAAGATGAGGATGGAGTCCCAGGTTTGGCTCAAACACAAAATCAAACCTTAAAGCTCCCCACCATTCGCTAAACCTTGCCCTAAGGCTTAACTCTAATCTCACTCAGGTGGCAGTCCTGAGCAACCTGAATCCTGATCCTCATTTTTCATTCATGTTTCCAACATGGATTGGGGCCTCTGATGCCCCAGAAATAATACTAGGTAAGAGACAGGGGCAGTGACCCTCCACAGTGACGAACGCTCAGAGATATTTTCACCATTAAAAAACAAAACAAACAAACAAAAAAAAAGCCGGGCGCGGTGGCTCACGCCTGTAATCCCAGCACTTTGGGAGGCCGAGGCGGGTGGATCACGAGGTCAAGAGATCGAGACCATCCTGGTCAACATGGTGAAACCCCGTC